TTATTGCTTCTGTACAGCGAACAACGTTTAAACAAGAAAAACCTGTCTAGCGTTAGATTCAGTACAGTATACATTGGAAATTTAAATGTTATACTTTTATACACATATGTAACGTGCATAATTTGGTGAAGCACTTTATGTACGCTTCTTTCCGTTTAAAATCACAACATATGACTTGATTTACGTTATTTTACACATTTCCAGCCGTTTAAAAAGATTATTTTTAAACGGCAAGAAATGTGTAAATGACGTTTATCAAGTCACGTGTCGCTATTTTAAACAGAAGGAACAAACAGTGCTTCACCAAATTACACGCACGTGTATGTGGTAAAAGTAACACGCTTAGATTTGCAGTGTAATGGTTAGGAGGGTGCATAATAATTTTGCCTATGGCTGCAGCTTTTCGTATGAAAGATGACTCTCACCCTGGATTAATTAAAATAATTAGATACCGGCTGAAAATCAAAATCCTTTAACTTTACGTCGCCAGGTATTTATAAAGTACATTACCATTTAGAAAAGAACAAAACGAGAACTCTTCGCTATAAATAAAGGTCTGGTTTTTAATCTCACATATTACCTTCTTAGTCCCGTCTCTCGCTTTTCTAGACGGTATTTACATGCTAATAAACTTAGAGCAATTAACATGCTAATGCCGTTCAAAAGGAGGAAAAAAACAAGACCTCTATACGCATGCCGTAAATTATCTCAAATTAAACGCGACCCCCCCCGACCCGGGGCCGTTTTATCCAGCGGCCGAAGGATATAAAGAATTATTTAGACATTTATATTGTCGAGTGCTTGCGTGGCGCTTGCTTTAAATCGCTCCCGTATAATGGACCCGCGCGCGCCTAATTAGATAGTAATGACTTTATTAGACGCACCCGGGAAATTTACCCGCGCTCGTTACCCCCGCCGGAGCAACGGCTAATGTAACCGGCGGGATAATTGCAAAGTAAATTCCAAAGTGCGCTGCCGGTGCACACAGGTATATGCGCAGGTATTCATCGCATATGCGCGAGGGATGCGCCTCCCGTCCCATAATTTCGACGGTTACCTGTAATCTTACGCGCTAACGAGAACGAAGATGCGTAATTTTCCTCTCCCGGGGGTGTTTCGCGACGCGGCGCGAAAGGGTGGCGGGTCCCTTTGTCCGCCCGCGAGAAGGCGCGTGACTGCATCGAAAACGCGCGGGAGGTCCTCCTTTGTCGTCTCTACGGCTGCAATTATCTCGAATTAATGCCGGCGCTCGTCCTCGCTCCTTCGTATCCTCTCTCGCTCGCTTCTTCTCTTCTTCTGCCCCCCCCCTCTCTCTCTCTCTCTCTCTCTCTCACCCTCTCACCCTTTTCTACCCCGCTGCGACTCGATCGGAGCCACTGCTGTTCCGTTCCGGTATTATAGTTTCGCGGTATTCGACGGCCCATTGTGCGCTCCGTTTTAGACGCGTAGTCCTTTGTATTCTAGGCAGAAGACTCATTCTCCGACCTCGGCGAAGTTAGCTTGGAAATTTCGGCGATGCGCGGGATATAGTGATAACTATGCCGACAATATAAATTCTAAGATCGATTGCGCGAACACACTGCAAATTGGAACATGCGCGTTTTCGGCGTATCTTTAGCAAATATAAAATGTTTCCTCAAACTATAGACGCGCTCGGTATATCAAAATTCTAAAAATAGAATGGAAGTGAATGTAAATACGAAAGCGGGGATTTTAGATCAGATTTTGTTCAAATTTTTACCCGCGAATGAAATGCTTCTCTCTTTCCATTTAATCAAGGTATTCAGGTTCTCGATTGAATGAGACGGAGAAAAAACAAAGCTGCCTCTTCGCTTAATGAATTTGGATAGGCCTTCGGGCAAATGTTCTAAATTAAAAATTAAAAGAGGATTTGACCGATATACAAATTTATTTTACGCGGTACAAAAGAAAATAGCATTAAAAGTGATATGAAATTTCGAACGAACGTAGATCTAAGAAGATTTAAGGATCTGTGACAAATAAATTGTGTTCGAGAAAATGGATCTTATGTACACAGCGGAAATAAAGTGGATAGAACGGAATACATAAAGAAAGGTAGTAAGGAACCTTAATAAAGATGTACTATTATCTTCGTAATCGGATTGCAAAAGTTCTACCGTTTGCAAGAACTTAATGGGAATCCTGAGCGAGAGGAGAGCGAGAGTGAGAGAGAAAGGGAGAAGAAAGAAAGATCTCTACTTTGTTCGTTGTTTCATTTCATCAATTAACATCGCGGCTCGGTGAAGGTCGTTACAGGCAGCCTTGCCTTCGAGCGGAATTAATATCCGAGAATAATGCGATTACCGAGGCTTCACCGCCGAGTCCTGTCTTCCCGTCTTCCACTTCTTAGTTTGAATAAAACGCATCTCTATACGCATTATAAACGTGTCACAATCATTCGCGATGATCGGTAAAGATAAAATCCGATTCCACGAGAATTTGTATCTCCCTTTTTCCAAGAATATGAAAAGGGTCCTTTGTAAGAAGTGGACTTGTCAGGAAAATAACAAAATAGACTTTACAGCTCGATCATATTTTTAATATTATATTTTCAAAGATTGAAAAGTGTCTCTTCAAGAAATTGAAAGGTTTGTTTTGAAAGGTAGAGATGGTTTTCTCTTCTTTGCTCTTAGAATCCATCTTATACTTAAAAAAAGAGTAAAATGGATAGAATTGCGTTTGTAAAATATAAAACAATATTTTCTTTAAGTAAACTTGTCTCCCTCTCTTTTTCATTTTTTTTAAATATTAAAAATAATGCGCGAGACAGGCTTCTGGGACTTTGAGGTCTCTTTTGCATTCCGCAAGGCAGACACAGGATGAACAATGTTAATTAATTATACGTTACACAGTACGTTTACTGAAAAGATTACTCTTGTGTGAATAGAGATATATGGATGCAGACTTGCGAGAAGAAAGGGATTTAAATAGAATCGCCGAAGCAAACAAACGCACTGTTTTCCGGATTAGCCGGGATTTCAGTGTCGCACCGGAGTTCCGTATCTCTTTTTCCGTTTAAACAAAGCAAGGGATCGCACGCGGATTGGTGTATGTAGTTGGGCAATTAAGGGAATATCTGCCGACTCGCAGCTGGATACTGATTAGTTTCTCAGGTGATCGATAGCTTAAATCGCGCCCGATCGACCGTGGGGACTGGTAGATTCGAAAAGTTTCCCCGATCCCCATTCCGGCAGCGATCTCCTGCTGCAAATTCCGAGAAATTGTCAGAAAAGCTCGGCGGAGAAAGAAGAAGCTTCGATTTCGTTCGGGTCTGCCGTCAGAAAGTTAAACGTTGCACGTTAATAACGAAAGTTGCTTCCGTGCAGAGGTTGTAATAAACCTACGCGATCGAAGCTTCTATTCCCTGGATTTTATGAAAATTCCAATTTAATGACGTGTCCTCGTTGATAAAGGAGGTATCTCGCACGTAATATCGCGCGCAGGATTACAAAGGAAAATTAATAAAACGTACGCAAACAAGGGGACGTATAATTATGGAATATGATACATTCAATTTTCGTAATCCGTTATTCTGCTTTGAAGAATCTTGAGAATCGCTGAATCTTATATCTCGTAAATTTGGACGACGATCAGCCTCTTGCTACTTTTGCCAATTATCATCGAAGGAGCAATCGCTTAAATTTTTAAAGATTACATACTATTTTCCAGCAACGACATTGAAAAATGAAATTAACTACGGTGCGTTAATTAAATTCAAAGAAGAAGCGTCGTCGGGGGCGGCACCGTCCTCCTCGTAAATCTCGAGAGTCGAGTTCAGTTCCGAAGTTTAATCCTTGAATTCCGTTAACGGCGTGAAAGTGCGCGCGCGATAAAGCTCAACCTCGCAAAATCGCTTGAAAATTTCCCGAAACTTAATCCTTAGGTTTAACTAGACCGCCGAAAACGGCGAGGATCAAACGCTCGCTCGTATCCAGGCGCATCGTTCTCGCGAACGGCTCTTCTTGAAATCGTAAATTCGATTCTTCGCCCCAGTCATGGAACTCGCGCCTTAAACTCGCGCCTTCGTCGTTAAAAACAAGTTAAGCTCGCCGTCATTCATTCCTCGAGTTTGCTTGTAATTCTAATTGTTTAACGTACTTCTAACTGTAGAATGAACAACAGTCTGACGAAGATTTATAAAATATATTGGAAAATGTTAGTTAAATTAAGGAATCAACACGCAACACATAATATTATTCTGCAAGTATTGCATTAATAAAAAAAGAGTTTTATAGATAATAGAATTATATAAATAAATTATATAAATAATATAAATATATAAAGTCATAAAATGATCCTGAAAATATTGCGTTGATAAAACCTATAAAGTTTGTACCCACGGCTTTCCGCCTATGAATAAAAATTGTGCAAATCAACTGTCGATAGCAGTGCAGCTTTATGATAAATATTATCAATGATAAAACTTATTTTAATTAAACAACGTATGTGTGTATTTGCAAAATATTAGCAAATGGAACGATACTTTATAATTGATGTCTTAGGCGATCATCAAACGCTGCAAGTGTCAAGTACTATTCTGCTATATATATATGTGTGTGTGAAAAAATAATAAATTAAAAATTTATATAATTTATAAAATAAATTTATATAATAAAACACGAATTTAGATAAAAATTTAATACAACTGTATATACAGCGAAAAACACAAAGTTATATGATATATGTAACATTATATGACATTGGAACATACCACGTTACAATCTTCGTAATATTGAATTTAAATCATTAAACCTCGAGTTTTGAAAATAGTTGTACTTGCTGAATTATTTCGACCAGTATTAATGCACGATAAATCTTTTTCAATCTTTAAGAGCGAATAAGAGAGCTTTACAAATGATATGTAGAAATTATGGGCATCTACGGAGCCATCCGACTCTTCTCGGGTGCGACTCGACTATATTATGTCAAGAACCTGAGGTTTCACCGTCCCATAACCGCCGTTCCCTCGTCTGTTGCAGGAGCTGGAGAGGAGTTACACCCTCTCGACCCCGGGGGGTAGCAGCCCCGTTTGTTGTCCGCCTTGCAGCCCACCGCCCGCGCCGGCCGCATACATATCGAGCGCGCGCGCGTCCTCGCGTAGACTCGGCGCCGGAAGTGGCCTCGGCGGGACCACATCCCCGGAGAGGGATCCCCTGGGAAGACTGTTAAGGTGAGTCACACTCGTTCGATGTTCCCGCCGTCCGCAGTTCTCTCGCTGCGAGACGGGATCCTTATTTCTCCGGGGCGAAATCGTCGTTCTTGGTCCGAGAGAGAGAGAGAGTCTAATTCCATTAGACGTGTTTTTGCCCGCCGACGCTTACGCTCGCATTGTCCCGGGACGAGATGATGCTCTCGGAGGTGATTTCACCCGGTACAAATAGATACCGGGTAGCAATGCAACGAGGAACTTGGCGTCTAAGTGCTACACGTTTTAATTAATCTCAATTCCGATTCGAAATTTAATTTTGGCTTGTATTACTTTTCTCCCTTTTCTACAGTTGTATCACATAGCTGGTAGATAGCTCGTAGATGATGAATTTAAACGTTACACGTTTGTGCAGCTGATTATTTATCACACGAGAGAATATATGTGACGTGTATTACAATTTAAAGTACGAGTTATAAGTTTATTCCACTTGTGCTTTAAGTTTCCTCACGTGAACATAATTTAACGCTTTAGCGAAATTACCTGAATTTTAGGAAACACCTCAGCAGTTGTAATTCTAATTAGTCTAACATCGTGCCAATTAAATGGTTATTGCGGTTAATTTAATTTTCTTTGTATATAGTGTAACCGATATTGCAGTTTAAATTCAACATTAGTTAAACTCTGATTTAATTTAATCGACGTTAATGAAAGCAGTTCTGGAGTAGCGGACGCGGGTATGCGGGATCATAAATGTAAAGGCATTCGTGCGGGCGAATTATATTCGCGATGTCCTCAGGAATGTTTGCCGAGACACGGCGCGAATGCCATGGGAGCAACGCGCGCCCGGGAAGGATATCCGGTAATGACTTCCATAAAATCAAGAACGGGCTTTTAAGACCGATCATCCGGAAGTCGTAAAAGTCTTGCGAGCTTTTCTTTCTCGCCTCCCATCGGGACGTCCTTCTCCTGATTACTTTCATAGCCCTGCGGGCTTTCCGGCGAGATCCATCAATCTGTATGGCGGGAGGTGTACACGAATGCACCGTCTAACATCTTGCTCGTACCACCGTTTTGTCGTCTTGAGAAATTTACCGATCACCCGGTAAATGGGGAGATCACTCATCTTTAAGATACGTTCAACCTTCACCTTCCCGATCTGCTTTTATTCATCGAGTCTATCGAATTTGGTTTCGCTTTTTATCCTTCGTTTCTTTTGTCCTCTCAAAAACGCGCGCCCGCATTAAAACTTCTCGTGGCGTTGCGTCAAAGAAAACGATAGATATAGTCGACGGTACGAGAATACGCAGAGATAAATTCAATTTTAACATATACGGCATTCGCGTTAGGCGAAAAAGCGGAGTGAAATCGTGCATCGATCAACATTTTTCGGAGGGGACAAAAATTGCTCGAGTTGCAAAATTCCGACTCCGACATTTATGAAAATATCCACCGTTATTATTGCCGTGTCTCCTTTATTACACGTTATGCACCGAACAATATTTTGAATCGCGCGATTACCAGCTCTCGTCTATCTTGCTTGGAGCATCAAAACTATTTCATCAACCCCTTCAAGCCCGCGCTCGCCGGAATCCGGCGTACCGTCGCTCTGCGACTTCGCTCGAAGAATTTCCGTTCTATATGGCTCACAGATTGAATAACCTCGCCGAGCCCTATCGTTGCAGATTCCTGAAGACCTTCTACAGGGAGTTGGGTACCCGCGATCCGCCCCATCTACCGCCATGGGCGTCCCCGCTGCCGCTCGGCACCCTCTGTCCGGCGCACTTTCAGCCGCACCTGCAGCTGGTGCACAAGAGCGAGCAGGAGCACCGTCTCGAGAACATCAAGCCCGACCAGATCTTCGCCCCAGTCAGGGTGAGCATAATTAAAATCCAATAATGATATTATATTGACGGTTCAAGGCGCAGACACTGCGCGCCCAGGGGAATACAGTTTGACAAAAACTCGGAGAGAAGGTTTTACGTAATAACAGAGGGTGAGATAAATGGAAGCGGTGCAGATGCGGGATATTTAAGTCATCGATATTTGTTCTTTGTACAGTGCACAACGAGGATTCTTTGCCGGTGTAATTTTTCAGTGTAAATTTCTAAATATATCGAGGAAGGCCCCCTGTTATGAGATAAGCTCCTAATCATTTGGCGGAGTTTCTGCTAAATTAATTGGCATCATCTGTTGGTTCCACCGTGAACTTATTGCCCTTGGCGTGAACTCCGTTTAATGGAAAATTGATTGTTAGATCGTGCGTTCGTTGCGAGAAAAGATTTACGATTGAATTTCGACGTTGAAGACCTGCTCACATTAGAATCCTATCTCATAATAGAGGGCTTTCCTCTATGTATGTATAAGAGTTAGATTAGAAGGCCAGACTCAAGTTCTAAATAGAATTCAAGTTTATCCTCTCGAAAAAGCCGGTCGCGGAAACCCAGAAAGACCGTAAAATTCAGGCCAAAGGCTCGAAAAATACTGCATTACATCATAAACAGGGCAATCGATAACCGCGGAAATTCGTGCTGAAAATGTTAAACAGATTTTCGGTTCACGGGCGCGTACGAGCTTTCGCGGGCTTTATCAGAAGGCCGCCGAGATCTTTCGTCGGCAGCCGCAAATTTGCATGATATCGACTCCGTAATTGCATAGACGAGCGGCAAGTCGAGTCCCGGATGTCCAAAGAAGCCGCGGGGGAGTTTCCTCCGACGACTGTCGAAAGCTCGTTTCGCCCCTCTCTTCCGCCGTCGTCACCGCTGCCACGGAGCAACTTCTCTTAGAAATGTGAAAGCCAAGTTGGTGTCCTCTAAAATCCCAAAGAGAGAGAGAGAGAGAGAGAGAGGGAGGGAGGGAGAGTGAAAAAGTTCCGCGAACTTCCTTCCCTTCGCGATTCGCTGTCTCGAGTTCTCGGCGATACGCGTCCCCTCGACTTCTTGCGCTCGCGGGTCTCCCGGATGCAGTCTCCCGCGAATGAAATGCAATGACATTCGAATCGACGCGCTTGCGATTTGCAGTTGCTTTGACTATCGGATAGTTGTTTTGATCGAATCGCGCAATTGTTGAATCGATGTTTGCGGATGAGAGGGCAGCAACGTTAATCTAAGCAACGGTCTGTGTAACCTAATCGGTTATGTACAGGGTGTTCCGTGACCGACAAACGCCAGTGCGTTCGGATGGTTATTCTAAACCTAAACAACAAGTTTATAATACAGTACGTGTCGACATGGCGTCGCCATGACATTGCTGGTGTTCATTGGATGACATCACTGGAGGGAAGGGATTCGTGTGCAAGAAAGAGGTGGGCATTTTTTGAACAGTGTCTGTGAATAAGAGTACGGCGATTTCATTGTTCCTATGATATCGGTCTAATTAATCA